GCTAAAGGCAAACCGTCTCTTTCACCTCTCCATCCACCTTCCACTTCTTACCAGAGTTGCCTTTGTTCTAAACCCACTGAATCATTTGTGCACAGGGGAAAAGTGAGCTAATGTAACCTAAGGTTTGGTTTAGAACTGACTTAACTAGGTAACTCGGACATTTTATTTCAGTTTTGAAATGGCTTGTCTCAGTCTGGATTATGTAAGCTGAGAGTAGATTTAACAGCTTTAAGATACACTATGATGAGGTATCCTGGAGTAGGTGTCTTTTGTAGGGGTTTTGCACTCGGTAAATCAAGTAAAACCCAGTTTATTTTCTGAATGCAAACAGGTTGGACACAGAGGAGAGAGTTTCCCTGATTTCAGTGGGTGTTCAGCTGGTGGTTTTTTCATCAAAATATAATCCAGTTTCCTTCAGAGTATGGCAGGAATAGTCTGCTGCTTTAACTGGCAGGCACCCAGGATCCAGAAGGTGAAAGGAAACATAGTAGGTGATATCATAACAAACTCTTGCCAACTCGAGGTTAGAGGGAATTTCCATTTTCTTTGTAGATGGTATGAAAAGTTCTTATTTACAGTGAGGGCAGTGAGGGTATCTCACAGGCTTTTTCGTGCCGGTTCCAGGGATAGGATGCGCAGCCGTCTGTTCCTGATGTGCGGCTGATGCAAAGCCTGTGGGATGGAGAACCTCCTGTGGCAGGCCCTGAAGAAAGTTGGATCAGGGGAGGCTTGTTCATCGCTGAGAGTGGAATGCAGGTAACGCTTGGCGATAGACTAAGATTTTGTGTCATTTTAATAGTGAAACTCACCTTGATTTTCTATCACCTCTTTAAGAGGTGAGTGGGGTGGTACAAGGTGCCTGGTTAGTACTATTTCCGATGTGTTAAGCCTCTTCAGAGTGGGCCGTCTCCTGCGGAGGTTTCAGCATCAGTTCAGTGTTAGTATCAGAATGACTGTCAGAGGAGACTCTGAAGAATCTGATAGAAAGGCTGAAAGTAAGAAATAATACTGTTTTTAAAAAAAGATCTGATGTTGCTGTGTTTGAGAGGAGCTACTACAGTTCCAGCACCTCTGTCATCCAGCACTGGCAGGCCCAGAAATGCACAAGCGTGCCTGTAGAAGAGAGGGAAGTGTGAGACCAAAAACCTTTTGCTGTGAACTTTTTGCTTTCCTTAGCCACACAACTCCTGCAAAAAACGATGGAGCCAAGGCACGTGACAAAACACGGGTTTAATGACTGGTGCTAGTAACTGTGCCAGGAAACGGTGCTGGTGCTGGAAGCAATAAAAAACCAGCGGGCTCCCCTGCCCAAACTTATCTTTAAAGGGGATTTGTCTCCTTTTTCCATGCCTTCAGAACTCTGCCTGACATCACCCAGGCCTCCGCACACGGTCTGGCTAAGAGGACACTTTCCAACTTCCAAGAAAAACAAATGGAAATACAAAAAGCTTGCATCTGGCCTGTTACCTCATCCTCGGCCACCTGGGCCGCACGGCATTCCCGGCTCCTTTTTCCTTGCTACGTAATAAATGAGAAGGGCTGTTGAGAAAAGGGGCGTTCACAGAAAGCAGACAGCCCATAGAGCTCGAAGAGTTGGGGCTGATGTGCATTATTTCTGCACGAACTGGTACGTTTCTTGGGGTGTGAAAGACTCTGTATGTTCAATAAAAGCTCCCTGTGAAGCCAAGATGCACGAGATCTATCAGTTATTGGTCATCACTAAAAACTACTGGTTTTCCGCAGCTCTGGTTGTGAATTACGGATGGTCAGGCTTTTCTCCTTCCTGCTGCCTTAATTACCAGTAACCAAAGATACATCGTGTGTTTCTTCCCCTTCGCCCTCACTGGATGAAGGATTTTACAGTGCTCAAACACGGATGCAGGGAAGTTGTCTTTTTCTCTGTGTTAAGAAACAAATTCAGCGACAAATTGCCTTCAAGAAACCTAGGAGAAGCTTAATTCTCACGACAGTGTTTCTTTTAATCTAGACGTTGATGATCCCTCAGTTTTACTGTGCAACATCTTTACCAAAGCCTGAGAAAACAAAGCATGACAAAAATTGCACGTGGCATCCAGAATGATTTCGATTGGATGCCTAAACCGTTTCTGCTTTTGTGACTTTCGTGGCAGTCGCTTGTCAGCTCCTGAGCTGCAACTGACCCAGCTTTGGCTGAAGTTCTATTAGCTGCTGTGGGGTTTTTTTCAGAAGATAAAAAAGTAACTTTTAAAGGGCGGAAAAATAAAGACTAATAGGAGGTGCTTTTTCAGATGCAAACCTACGAAGAAACTTCTCTGATGAGTCTGCCCGTTGCATTTCCACCCTGTACTGCCAGAAGTGGTTTTACAGCTGTTGGCTACACGCATAAAGAACAGGAGGATTTATGCAAGTTCTGTAGCACTTTAAAATAAAAATATCTATTTATGAGGAGTCTAGAATGGGAACAAGCTCCTAATGCACGTGTTGTATGTGATCCCAGTGAAGGCAAACACACAGCAATGAATTATGCTCAAGGAAGTGCCTGATCCTATGGCTACAATTTGAGTTCCTTACAGAATGCCACAGTTCACAGAACTTGAATGTTGTATATAGCTGAAAACTGCTAAACACTCCAACTATTTTATTACTTACAGTGCTGCCATTGTTACCAACTAACGTCCCACTCTGGTGTGTAGTGGCAAAACGTTAATTCACCTGGCTTGATTTTCAGTTCTGTGATGACCAGGTGAAGTGCAGCCCTGCTGCCAAGGCATCCTGGCAGCAAGCAAGCACCACAGCCTGCAAAGTGCCCCAGTTTTCCCTTGGCAGTTGTACCACGATGTATTTCGCTTTTAAAAATGACTAATCTTTCAGTCTTTGCCTTCAGGGCTTCTGGATTCTTGTTTATAAATGTGTCTGCTTCGTAGGTGCAATTGGGGTGCTTAGTCCAGGCTTAGCCAACCTCTGACTCTGCTTCTGTGGCCGGACGATGTGCACTGTGGTGATGTGCAGGCATATCTACATATATTTGACAACAGATCCTTTGGCCAAAAATATCTGGTTTATAGTTAATTCGGGCTTCTGCACTCTCAAATGTTAGAAGTGGCAGGTAAAATTACCCACAGCCCTCTGATTGAAAGGAACATTGCTCCTCACATTCTATTCAGGATGTATTTGCTTCCTGTGACTATTCCATGAAACAGTCCAGAAAGCCATTTTTGGTGTAAACATGTCCCTTATTCTCAGAAATCAATTTGCACGTATTTAGGATTATTTTTTTTCCCCCACAGGCTTTGTTTTGATTCATGGGAATTTGATGCTGCTCCTGAAGCTGTGGTGCAAACCAGCAAAATGAAGCTGTCTGGAAAGTACTGCAATGGGCACCTCATTGTTCAGCACGTAGATTCACTTCCGCTTCAGGTACAGAAAACAAAATAAGGATTCTATTATTATTATTATTGCACTGTCTTGGGAGCATTTAAAAGTATATGCGGAACGCACTAACAACATGTAAAATTCCAACTGGTGTCTCCCAAGGAGAGAACACCCAATGCTTTTGAGTTTTTACAGGAGGCGTACCTTAATTCTCATGCCTTGTGTGGGTTAGAAACTAATCACAAGCAGAACCGTTTGATCCTGTTCTAAGACACCGTCCACTGGCGCAAAGGTCGCTCTTTGATATATAAATAGTTTGGTGGCTTTTCACGTGTCCTGTTCACGTCTTATAAGCCTGAGAGCTTGACGTAACGGGCGCTTAGTTCTTGTGGTTGGAAGTACTAATAGAGAGGAGACTTGGGCTAGGGATAAAAAGAAAGCTTTATTTAAATATACTTCACAGTTCAGGCTTCACTACAGCATTGGCTTTCTCACATACTGTTTTATGTTTCCTTGCGTACAGGCTTATCACAGTGTGTAACGCGGCTCGGTGAGAACAATCTGCTACCGTGATCTGTGGAACGGGGAGATGGGCTGTCCTTCACCAAACGCAAGAACACTAAGCTGAAATCACATAATCACATCACTTTACATGACGTGCTGGTAGGTTTTCATTCTATTTTTTCGTATAACATTTACTGAAAAAAAATAAGTGGTTTTGTAAAAGGTTAAAAAGGCTAAAATTGATGTTGCGAATGCCGTGACTCAAACGTGCACTTTCTTTTTTTTCTCTGTAAGACCAAAGTAGCAGTAATTGATCAAAGAGACAGATACAGTGTCTGGTGTCAAAATCTTTCCAACCTCAGTTACAAAAATATTACCAGAAGTGCATCACAGCTACATGTACCACATCTGCAATGTACATAATGTATTTACATCACCTAGAAGATCAAAGCGGAGTGATGTAGGGCTGAAGGTGGTGCAGTCCAGCTGCACGGTAACAGCTATTTCTAAGATCAAGTCAACCACAGCTTTTCTCAGTGTTTCCACTGCCTTTAAAGCCAATCAGTGTAATACAACGGCACATGCAAGCTGTTCCGAAACACCCCGCAGCTCTGTTTTTATGGCTTGCTCTCTCCTACGCACAAGGTGTGCGGTGGACGGGGCGGATACCTGCTTCTAGGCCAGACGGGATCTGACATGAGGTCGGTCTGTATTGCACACAAAACCCACGTCTGTTGGGTTTGAGCCAAACTTGCGGAGCAGAGGAGGGCTGGTAACGGTAACAGACACCACGAGTGTCACAAGCAGCTCTGCTGTGTGCTACAGATCTCCTTTTTGGCACCAAATGCTTTCAGACTGCGTCTAAATTATGGCTAGGGCACTGTTTATGAGAGGGACCAGAAAGCCATTCTGCCCCTCTGTTACTGCAATTCCTGGTCCTGGAGAAAGAAAGTCAGCAAACTGGAGCCTTTCTTTTTTTCTTTAAATTTTTTTAAGAGATTGAAAAGATGCCTTTTTTCCTCAGTGGCCAGGCTCTTCAGCGCGCTGAAATTCAGATTCTGATACCCTCTCTGTTTATGAAAACAGGTTCTTGTTCTGTGTTCCAAAAGGAAATTCAAATGTGGTTGACCTGGACAGTCCATTTTCTAGTTCACCAAAAGATCTCTGAATTCTGTGGATTTGCCACGGTCCTGATATTCACCTTGTTCTTCCTCAGGAAAGCGGCAGCTGCAGGCATCATCTTCCTGAATTGACTGTTCGGGTGTGGTATGCACTAAAGAAAAAGATCAAATGCTCACTTTTCGTTGTATCTATTCAGCCACCCTGTTTCACCCCTCTGCAGTCACAAGTGTGGGAAGTCAGTGAGAAAAATTCTTCCCAGTGATCCAATAATATGAAATTATTCCTCTACAGTATGTACATATGATAAAACTCATCATACTTTGTTTTCCCTGATGCAACAGGGGCTGCTAGTGCTGCGTTTGCCATAGGAATGAAAGGAAGACCGACACGGAGTTGTTAGGTTTCTGGAGTAATGCTATTGTCTCCTGTATTCTGAATTACACGAGAAGATCTAGCCCTTATCTCTAGGAAGGGGGAGAGAGAAACCCAAACAAAAATCCCAGCTATAAACTACACTGGTTGCAGTTCCACCTCATCGCTGTGCTGAACTCTTGAGCTTCCCTGGGGCTGATCAGCTGCAGCGCTGCATTCAGGCTGACCCTGCGTCTGTTGTGGCAGCGTGTCCGGACCGATACTCCCGATTCTACTGCAGCCAGAGCCGCTCACTCCAGCCCCTGCCTACTGTTTGTGAGCAGACGGACCTGGGAAGTGCTGCTGCCGTGCATGGCGCGGATGGTGCTCGGGAGCGATCGACTGACCTGACCCTGAACCGCATCAGCAAGGCAGTTAAGCTGAGCCTTTCCACCTCCCGTGAATAATTCCCTTCTGTGGATATGTGCGCGTTAACCTGCGATGCTGACGCAACCCCCCCAGGTAACTGAGTGCTTTCTGCAGTAAAAATTCCACAACTGTTTTCCTTTCAGTGGTTTCTGACTTACAAGGCCCAAAAATGAAGCTAACTGCAACTAACTTTGAAAGAGCCTTAAAAACCTGGATTCCTGATTTCTGTCTAGTTTCAAAAACTGAAGAATGTATCTTACTTTTCTTGAAGACAGCGTGTAGTTTCTTTTTCTGCCAGATACTGAGGCATACGCACGCAGGCAGCAGAAACACTACGCACAGCAGCCCCGCTACCACAAGAGAAACTCTGACAAGGTCCATCTGGAGGTCATTCCCTAGGAAGCAAACACCACTGTTACAGCGCAGAATCCTACATCCCTTGAATTAGCCGGCAGCTTTGCCTCCCAACTCTGCTTCAACGCGTCCGCAACACTGGAAATGGATAGAAGGACGGGCTCCTGCTTGAAATGGTGACTGAGCTATGGCATGTTTCAAGCAGGTCGTAATTCTTCAGCTCTATAAGCAACAGCATGCGGTGACTCACCAGGCACGGTGACAGCAAACGGAATTGCAGGAGAGGTGGTAGCTGGAGTAGTGACTACAGCGGGATTATCGGAAGCGTGTTTGCAAGTGACATCTTTCGTTGCGGTTCCAGGCTCCAGGACCTGGTTTGCAGAGCATCTGAAAGACATTGAAAGCAAAATAGAGAGGCAAAACAAATCCAGTCACATGTAATAGCATTTATTTTTATATTACTTACTTTGTCCAGTTTTTACAGGAGCCATTGGGCTGATCATTGAAAGTTCCATAGCGGCAAGTTTGGCAACCTTAGACAAGGAGAGGTAAATTTGTACAAGAGGAGCATTTATAGCACCACGTGAAACCCTTTTTTGGCCTGCTGGTACAATGAAATTCAGAGAATTACTGCTATTTCACAAGCTGCTCTATGTGAGGCACGTCTTTCCCTGTGAGCCACCGACCAGCGCAGCGCTCAGCTACAGAGCCAGGCTCGTCGGTACAAGGTGCCGCAAATCCCGTCTGCCTCCGGAGTTCCCAGCCCGGTTTCCCACACGCTGGCAACGGGAGAGCTGTCATGCAGAGGGACACGGTGCACGATCTGAGCTGCAGCAGGGCTCCGTTTGGGTGGGTTTGCTGCTACGCTCGCTCCACGCACTGTTCAGCATCAGCTTCTGTCTTGCAGGATCCTTACCGTAGTTTTTCCAGGTCTGGCTTAGGCCAGTGGGGAAAGGCAACCTTACCGCT